TCCAGAGCCAGGCCCGGCTCCCGCTGCGGGGCACGGCGGAGCTCTCGGGGCACGTGGGCTCCCTCCCGCCCCGCAGCCGGGGGTCCCAGCGGCCGCGGGGCCGGGGCCGGGCTCGGTCGCGCCGTCCAGCTGCGTTTCATTTCCGCAGCGGCCGCGGCCGTGGCCGGGGGCGGGGGCCGCGTCCCGCCAGCTGGGAAGGATTTGCGGGGACATGGGGCGGGGAGCACGGGTGACCTGCCCTTGCTCAGCCCTCAGCCCCCATGCTGGAGCCCCCCGTCTTCTCTCCCAGACTGGGGTGGCCCCCAACAGCTTTGGCTCCCGTATGGGGTGAGGGTACCCCGCACCCCCTCCCGGCTCGGGGGGAACATCCCCAAGCAGCCCCATCCTCCCACGAGGGGCTCTGGGGCACGGCAGTGGTTTTTGGGGGCTCCACGGGGGTCCCGATGGAGCCCTGCCTGGCCTGGGGGAGCCCCCCAGGGTTTGCGCTGAGGATTTCTGCGCTCCGTGAGGGTTTTTGCCGGGAAGGGGGTGCGGGCGGCGGATGGTGCCGGATGTTTCCGGAGGCTGAGCCGGGAATCGGTGCCCTTCCCAGGGGTGAGCGGCGCTCCGGGGGGGTTATTTAGGGCCAGTGGTTCGCCTGCTCGCCCCAGGGCTTCACCAGCACGGGAGGGAGAGGAGGGTGGGGTGCAAAGGCTTTATCCGCCCTTCCCTGCAGAATCCCTTCCAGATGTGGGGCTGCCGGCGCTGGCGCTCACGCCCCGCTGGCTCGTGGTACCCAGCAGGGCACGGGGGTGCCCCTGTAGGAGTTTGCAGGCAGATCCCACCCCAGACCCCTCCGCTCACTTATCCTGGAATGGAAATTTTTTTTTTTTTTTTGTTTCCCCCCGTTTCCCCCAGATTTGGAGCAAAGCCACAGCACCGCCCTCCTGTGACTCGGGGATGGGGGAAGGCAGCTCCTGCGTCCCTGGGGCGAAGGGGTTGGGGTGACCCCCTCCCCGAGCCCCTGCAGCTCTGCCTGTCCCTGTCGCTGTCCCCGGGCACGGCCCCGGCGCTGCTGGAGGTGAGGCTGTGTCAGTGCTTGGTGAGAAATCCTGTTCTTCAGGGGATTAGGGATGCGGCAAGCCGGGACTTGGCTCGCCGGCCCGAGCCGGAGCTTCTGGGGGCACGGGGAGGGGATGTGGCCGGGAGGAGGGGGGGCCACGGGGGGCTCCGTGGGGCCTTTTCACCCCAAATCGGAGAAGAAGCCTCCCTCCTTCCATTCCAGCGCTCCTGCTGAACCAGAAACGCCATTTCTGGCTTTTCTTGCCCAGAACCGGCCCCGCGGCACAACCTGCCCTTCCCGCGGCGGTTCCCAGGGCTGGGAAAGCTCGGGAAATCCCTGCGCGCTCCTTAACCTGGCTGGGAGCGGGGTTCCACCTGCCCCTGGCAGCTCCCCCCCCACGCGTGTGCACAGCCACGGGCGTGGGTTGGTGATTTTGTGCGCGGGTTTGGGAGTTTGCGAGTGATGGTGTGGCTGGGAAAGCCGTGGATCAAAAACCCACGTGTGTGCAAGTGAGCCCAGGCACCTGCACACGGCCGTGCCAGCATCTCAGCTGTGCAAACACGCGTGTCCCGCGCACACTCGGGGGGTGCGGGGAGATTTGGGGGCG